CTTCCCGCTTGGGCAGCGGGGGTGGCGCCCGTGCCGAAGGCAGTGCCATTCAGAAGGGGAGGCATCCTGCTAGCCAAGGGCTACCCGCTCCCACTGGTGCCATCTATGTCGTGGCAGCACTTACACTTCCTGCAAGGGGGCCAGCGGGTCATGAGGTGGCTGCCAACACTGCCCTTGGGTCACGTATTCAAAAATAATCTGAATGATCTCGGTCATCCCCCTCACCATGGCCTGGGCGTGGATGGTGGCACAGGCCTTACATGGGCTATGCCCTCCCCTCCCGCAGCCATGGCAGACATGACCAATCAATCTCAGCACATCCTGCTGCCAGGCCCAGGCCACTGGCTCCCCCATCCTTCCCACACAGGCCTAGGCAGACCCTGGTAGTCAAACAGCGCCAGTACGGGAAGGAACATGGTTTGCTTTCCCAGGTCTCAACCTCTCAGTCAGGCATCTGCCATCATAGTACTTGCTTCCACTGTGTCAGCACTTTAACACCAAATCTGCTAAATTCAACTTTGGTTACAGTTCACGAGGGTGTTTAAACTCTTTTCTCCTAAATTAATCCCTTTCCCCAGGGGTCACACTGTTATCATTTTGACACGTATCTTTTCAATTCTTTTCCTTCACGTTTATATACCCCAGTGTACGCAAACAAAAAATATGGTATTGTTTTGAGGGGTGTAGGTGACACACTCATTTAATGTAAATGTCATCACGCTACCCATCTTATCGTACATTTTGTTTTTCACTCAATAAGCACCAGCTTTCCAGGTCTATGCACGCAGATCTGCCCGCCGTCCGTGACTACAGCGTAGGGGCCTGTGGTGAGGACGCCGCCCGGCTCCCCCACCGTCCTCCCACCGCTGGGCAGTCAGGCAAGCTCCAGGTCTTTGCTAAGATAAACAGGCTCACACACATGCACACGCACACACATGCACACACACACACACACACCTGCTCGTGATCGCGGGCGAGACTTTTCCAGGGAGACACGTAAACATCCTGGGTCGCAGGGCATGCCCACGGACCACTTTCAGAGCGACGCTGAAATGCCCTCCCACTTAGCTGTACCAGCTCAGACCTTCTGGCAGCCAGGAGTGGGCCCGTGCCCGCCAACCGCCCCACTCAAGTGTCTGCCTCCCTCCTTCCAGCAGAGCGGACAAACTTCCAAGCAGACCACCCCCAGAAAACAGCACCTTGCTGTTATTCCACTTGCCTGTCCCTCCCCGCTGCCTGGGGGCGGGGGGCGGGCATCGTTCTGTAAGCTGGTGGGCCACCAGCACCTCCCACCTGCAGACCTGTGTTTACACCTCTGCCCCGGACCTGTTTACCGGTGTCCCTCTGCCACTGGTGAACGCCACGCTTGCTCAGCCACGCACCCACCTTCTCCTGAATCTGGCCGCCAATGCTGCGCAGGGCCTCCTGGAAAACTTTGTTCTTGGGCTCCAGGCTCATGCATCTCTGCAGGTCAAGGACGGCCTGGTCGAGGCGGCCCAGCTTCTCCAGGGCTTGGCTCCGCCGGTAAAGTGCTTTAACGTCCCCGCCATCCTTTTCAATGGCTGAGCACAAACAGGAGCTCTGTCAGCGCCCGTGCGGCCACCGTCTCCAGGCAAGAGCAGGAGGGAAAAGTCTTGAGGGCCAGAGGAAGGTGGGGGGACGGATGTGGGGCTCAGGACTTCAGCCTCGGAAAAGGTGAGGGCAGCTGCAGAAAAGGAAATGCCCGAGGCAGTGGGAAAGGAGGCCGGCGTGTTTCCAGGGGAAGGAGGAGAGTGTGATGGTGAGGTGGTCCCAGAATCCGTGCACACCGCAGAAGCCCCACAGCCCCGTACCCGGCACATTCCCTACCTTTGGATGCCTCGGCTTCTGCTTTGTCGTAATCTTCCTGTGAAAGAAAACACAGGGGCCTGGCTGACTGTCCAGCTCCTTTTCAGGGCACTGACTAGGCAGCAGGACTGGTCTCCGGAATCACCTGGCAAGACATCCCACAGGTGTGTGTGTGGCCTGAGAAGGTGACTGTCCTGCCAGGGGGCCCCTCAGTGGCGAGACGGGCACACCAGAGCAGTCAGGGCAGGGGCAGGGGCTCCCTCACCAGCTTGAGGTGGCAGGCGGCCAGGTTCCGGTGCAGGATGGCCTGGTCCTCGGCCGTGGCGCCCAGCTCCAGCGCCTGGGCGTAGGCCGTGAGGGCGCCCTTGTAGTCCTCGCGTTTGAACATCTCGTTGCCATCCTTCCGCAGCTGCTCCACGGAGCTGGCCTGTGGAGGGAAGGGCGGAGGGGTGGGAACGCGGAGATGGGCTCGGGGCCGAGCCGGGAGCTGGGGGTCCGCGATGAGCCTCACGTTGGGCCGGGACTGAGGGAGGAGGCTGGGGATGGTCAGAGCAGGTGCGGAGTGGTGACCGTGCCGGGGGTGCGGAGGTAGGTGCGCACCCCGGGGATGGTGGGCTGGGGTTGGGGGGCGGTTCCCGAGCCACTCACAGTCATTGTGGAGGGGGCGTCCCGGGCGCGCGCCGGCGAAACCTCCGAGGCGGGCTGAATCCTCGCTACGGAATCCACCGCCCGCCGCGCCGCCCCGCCCCGCCCCGGCCTGCGTCAGAGGCGGTGGCCGGGCGGGGGCGGGGGCGGGGCCAAGGCGTGCGCGCGTCAAGGAGGGGCGGGGCGCCCAGCCGGGCCCGCAGGCACAGAGAAGCCCGGAGCGCGCCTCGTCTGTTCCCAACAAGACCTGCAGGGGGCGCGTCGCCGAAGACCCGCGGCGGCCGAGGCCCCGACCGCGGCGGAAGTGCAGGAGGTCCACCGTCACCATGGCTGCGAACAGCAGCTTGCAAGAAGCCCAAGGCTGGGAGCGGGCCGGTCTCTGTGGGAGAGGGCTCAGTATCAGGATGCTGGCCCCCGCTAGTGCAGTCTGTGGGTAACAGAGCCCGAGAGCCCAGAGAAAGCTCACGCCCCCTCCCCGGATCAATGCAGAATCTGTAAACACAAATTCAGGGGGCCCACAGATAGGCTTACACCACCCATGGAAAGATTCAGGATTGCAAACGCTGATTATAATGTGTGTAATCCACGAAGCACCAAACCCTGCGACTGTTGACCCTTGCCCCAACGACACATGCATGCCCTCCCTGTTACCCGCTTTCCCGCCCCCTGAACTTTTCCTTCACCGAACTGTTTGTAATCACGTATTGACTTGACTTTCTGTTTGAGGTCTGTCTCTCCATCAGTCTGTAAGCTACAAGCCTCCCACCCCGGAATTTAAGAACAGAGCCCCGGATCCTGGAACTCCCTGGCAGTGTTCCCATGACTTTGGGGCTGAAGTTTTTGCCTGAGGATGGGCTGAGGCTGAAGAGCAGACAGGTTGAGCTGGCGTGGGCCTCAAATTTAGCCCGGGCGCACTAGGAGCCCCCTGCAGTCTGCAGGTGGCAATAGGAGGCTTCCTCCAGAGGACCGGAGAGCTGAGGACAGAAGAAGCCACGGTAGTGGTGGCCATCCGCATGGCATCCTGGGTGGTTTGGCACAAGTGAGGGTGCTGAGCCAAAACTGAAAGGAGAGGCAAGGGGGCTGGCAACCGGCAGGTTTGGACTGCCCACACCCTACTCTGCACCTTTGGGAGAGTGAAAGGGACCAGCTGTATAGAAGGGCAGGCTCCCTTCCTCCCAACCAGCTTCTCAGAAGGGCCCAGATTTGCTGAGAGAGAAGGGGACCTGAAAGGGGCAGGGGGGTACGGAGGAGACTGCTGTACCTGGGAGAGAGTTGGCTGGGCAAGGGTCATCCAGCTGAAGAGCAGCAGCAGCCCCATGGGGAGCCTCCTCCGGAAGCCCATGAGAGGTTACCGCCCCCTCTGCCCTGGTCCTAGGTGCCCCAGCATCGCTCACTGAGCCAAGGCTGCAGACGATAAGGAAGTAGCAATCAAAGCTCTAAGGCCCCTGTGCACTGTGACCACAGACCTGCAGTTTCTCTGTCACAGACCCCCATAAAGAGCTGAAACTGACTGAGTTTCTACCTTCTGCTGGAAAATGTGGGGACTGGGGCTCCAAGCTGCCTAAGGTTTTCTGAGCTGTAATGGAAAGGCTGAGACTAGAGGTCAGCATGAGGGATGAGAAAGAAGTTGAGCCTTTAGCCTGAAGAACACACAGGCCTGTAGAACCAGACTCCACCCACTCTCAACTCTCAGGCTTCCGTGGAAGCCCTGGGAATTCTGACTGTTGCACTTCAAGCCCCAGAGGCCTCAGTCCAAGCGCTGGGAACTTCCCTCCCTAACCTCTGCACCGGGGCAACCACCAGGACTAGCTGAAAACCAAGGGTGGGTCCTCTCATTGACTTTTCCCCTGCGTTCTCATCTGCCCCAGCTGCCAGCCAAAGCACTAAAGCTACCTGTCTGGGGTTTACTTAGGAACTAGCTGGTCCCATGTCACAGGGAAAGACTCACCCTACAGCGCATGGTAGGTGCCGGGGGGTGGGGCGGGGGGGTGAGGCAGGAACCCTATGGCATCCCAGGGTTGCCAAGAAAGAAACACGAAATTTGCCCCAGCCCCTGAGAGCAAAGAAGTCGATTCCTGCAGAAACATCGCTGGTGCTTGGGAGGCTAAATCTGAAGCTATACAGCAGAGCTCCCAGCATAGGCTCCAGTTTCCAGAAGGTCAGGCTCTAGTGTCGTCTGGGCCCAAAGTGAAGGTGCCCTGCCCTTGGCAACCAGGCCCCTCCCTGTAGGGAGAATTATTTTTCAAGCACTTTGAGAATTTTCAGAGCATTGACAGCTTGCAGATTTCCATGGGGAGAGAAGTCCCTCCTGGGAGAAGCTGGCTGGCTCTGTCCTTGAGGCTAGGTGCATTGCCCTTCCGCCTCGGTAACAGTCACCTGTGCCTTCCTGCTCTGTGCTCAGCACACTGTGAGGCCACTGCTTTGTTTCTCCTCTCTTCCTCCTTCTAACTGCCACCTGGACCACATTCCACAATCCCCGGGGCCTCCCAGGCGCCAGGGGGCGCTGTGGTGCACGGCCCGGGCTTCCCGAGCTCTCAGGGGCGCGGTCTCCCGTCCCAACGCGATGGGCTCCGAGGCGGCGCAATTGCTGGAGGCTGCAGATTTCGCTGCTCGGAAGCACCGTGCGCAGCGGCGAAAGGACCCCGAAGGGACCCCCTACATCAACCACCCTATCGGTCAGCACGGAGCCCGGGGAGCAACCGCAATGGTGTCGGGGCCGGGGGCGTGCCGCTCACTGAGCACCTACTCTGCACCCAGCTTGGTGCCCGTCATTTTGGGTGTTTAAGCCCCGCACAATCCGGGGCGGTGGGCATGGCTGTTCCCTGTGGACTCTTGACACCCAGAGAGAGTAAAGACTTGCCCAAGGCCACCCAGTTAGTGGCTCTACAAAACCCACGGCACGCGTGCCTGGGACTCCCCTCGGGTCTGACTTCCTGCTTTGCCCCGCCAGGTGTGGCTCGGATCCTGACCCACGAGGCGGGCATCACTGACATTGTGGTGTTGCAGGTAACTTTCCTCCTCCTCTGCCAGGAGGCTGGGTCGGGGATCCGGGGCCCCATTCATCTATGGCCACCCCTTGCCTGGCGTCACACGGCTGAGTGGAAACCTGTCCCCAGGCCGCCCTGCTCCATGACACAGTGGAGGACACAGACACCACCCTGGACGAGGTGGAGCTGCACTTTGGGGCACAGGTGCGGCGCCTGGTGGAGGAGGTAACCGATGACAAGACTCTGCCCAAGCTGGAGAGGAAGAGGATGCAGGTGCAGCAGGCTCCCCACAGCAGCCCGGGGGCTAAACTGGTGAAGCTGGCGGACAAGCTGTACAATCTGAGGGACCTGAACCGCTGCACCCCAGAGGGTAGGATTCCCCGGCCTGCTGGGGGGAAAGGGGCGGGTCCACCTTCTGGAGGCCCCGGTTGGCCAGTTCCCCCAAGGAGGAAAAAAAAAAAATGCCTGGCGTTTTGGTTAATTCTCCAAACTAATTCTACTAGATCACTCTGATCTGCTGTCACAGGGCAGAAATACAGTACTATAGCGGGGCCAAGGGGAAGATTTCAGGACGAATCAGACCATCAAGAAGTCATCTCCTGGCCCTGCACCAGACCCTCCGGGAAGTTGGCAGAACCCAGTGCTGTCCTGCAGGTTGTGTGAGCCGTTTTCTGTCCATTCACGCGCAGGGTGGTCTGAACATCGAGTCCAGGAATACTTTGAGTGGGCAGCGCAGGTGGTGAAGGGCCTTCAGGGAACAAACCGGCAGCTGGAAGAGGCTCTGCAGCAGCTGTTTAAGGAGCGGGGGTTGGCGCTCTGAGCAGTGCTTGGCGTGGCAGAGACTCCAGCCTTGTCCAGGCCAGAGTGGAGTCCCACGCTAGCCTCTCGGTGCCTTCTCCAGCTCCCTCCGCGGTTCGCTCAGCCGAGCGGCCAAAAACCTTTGCCTTTTCTCACTCGGGACGACTCCTGCCGACTGCTAAGCTGAGCCTGGATTGTGGGAGTCAGACACCCCCATCCACTTCTAACGCCGTCACTGCCCTCCAAGGCCTTCAGTCTGTTTGCCGTTTTGCAAGGTGAGGTCTCTGGTCCCTCAGGAACTCGGGCTTGTATAAATACTTGTTTATAGTCATTATTGGAAAATAAAGCATTTTGCGTAAAGCTTTAGGGTGCTGCTCCTTCTCCGGCCTCTGGAGTGGGGAACCGGTAGGGGACACCTGCTCCGAACCTGGCTTCCTTATCGGTGACCAAGGCTGTGTAATTCTCAGGATGACATTCCGTGACGCGCCTGAAGCAGCCTGACACAGGCGCTCAAAAAATGGGAGTCGTCCTCGTTAAGAAAGTTGGACTGGGGGCAGGTGAATTGGAAAGGAATGCCACCGGCTCATTTGAAGCCCCTGCTGGGTACCGGAGAGACCCCAGCAGCAGCGTGGTAGGCCCGGTGGGATACCGCGAGTCCCCCCACTGCTCGGGTCGCAGCCTTGTCACTTCGCGGGATTCTTTGGTTGCTAAGCCACAGGAACTTCCGGGCGGCTCCGGAAGTGACCCTTCCCCGAGGCCCGGAGGTGGTGGGCGGGGCCTGGGGAGGGGCTGTGTGGCCTCTGCTGGGGGGAGTTCACCGGGAGGTGGGTTTTTGGTTCCTGCTGAGCCGCTGGGGTTTATTAGCCCCCTTGAAAAGGGTACCCCTTAGGGATGAGTAAATTGTTAAGTCGAAGCCACTTCATTCCGGACCACGATGTTTTTTCATCCAAAGAAGGCCCAGTGCCCTTTGCAGGAAAAAAATAAAAAATGCAAAGGGCCACAAAAAATGTGACTTTAAAAGGAAACAAGTTTCAGGACAGTCCCAGATGAACAAAGTTCCAAAGTCCAGTGTAATCCTCTTAAAGGCAGAGCCAGGTACTTTTCGGAGAATTTGGGTTTGTTTTTTTAATTAGTTTTTTTTTGGGGGGGGGGCGGGTTGCAGGATTTTTAAAAACAGTATTTATTTGCCAAAGTCTTAAAATCAGTCTGCAGTTTTTAAGTGGTTTAAAATTTAAGTTTCGGGACATTTAATGAACATGAGCCCCTTCTGCACCCTCGGAATGAAAAGGGTCACAGGACGCTTGATGCTGTACAAACCTCACATTATGTGGCTTCTTTACGATAACCAGACGGGCAGAGCAGGGCAGGGCTCACTCGGCTTCTTCTGGGAATAAGCTTGGAGAGGTGAGAAGGCTCCTTCGTGATAAAGTGGACCGAATAGTGACGGACTCGGGCCCAGAGTCGCTCTCCTGTTCTGCCTCACCGCTGGGCCCTGCAGCCAGACGACAGTGACCGCAGCTGATGTCACTCTAACCCCTGGATGGACATGGAGGTCCGGCCCGAAATGGCTAGTGCGTTTGGACCATGAGTCTAAGAACTTCTTAAGGACGCCTGTTTGATCTGAGCCAATATAGAAGATATTTATTTTTTAAATTCAATTTTTTAAACCATCAGAAACGGGAGTTGGAAGTAGAGGGTACGCAAGTTTCCCCCCTGAGCCACTTGACGTTAATGTGCCAACCGGATGCCCTGTTGCCCCTAAACACCTTAGTATGTAGACACAGAAATTCTATGTGACCCAACTAGAACCATCAACACCAAGAAATTAACATTAGCACATGGCTACCTTCAGTCTGTGATAATAGGGCGCCTCACGGTTTACACAGAGGCTCACTTTGCCAGAGCTGGGAACCCAAAGTTCTGCTTCTGGCCTACAATTAGAAAATGCTTTTCCCATTTTAAATACTCCATGCAGCATTCTTAGACAGTAGGGGGCAGCAGTATTGCTGTGCCTCCTCTAGCTGGAACGTTAAGTCCTAGCCATTCCAGCAGGGAACACCCGCTTCTAGGCATCTCGAGGCTTTTACACTCAACGCCGTGTCTTAAATCTTCATTCCTGTCACATTCCAAGTGCCAAGAAGGCCTCCTCCGCAACCCGCTAGTGCGTAGACAACCTAATTATGCGGAGTTCACTTCCAGTTCAGGTTTATTCTCAACTGGGGAGGTCAAAGGTCAGGAGTCGCAGTGGGTGGAAGCCCTTGGCAGGCCCACTTGGTCCTGGCAGCTGAACTGATTTCTCACCGACTCTTAAATAAGACTGAGGTTTGTTAGGAAGGATCTGGTTTGTCCTCAGGGGATGAAGACAAATGGAACCGTGAGAACTGCCACTGGGAAGTGTTTGTTCTTCGTACACATTTTTGTTAGAGAAACACAAAGACGTTTAGAGATCTTGGTTTTGATGGCCAGCCTCGTTCCCAGCCTGATCTTCCCCTCCGTGAGCGCCAGAGTGTCACCGCGAAGCACAGTGACAGTGTGGTACGCAGGTCGATTTCCGGGTACAGGTGTCACCTCCCCTACACAGGTACTGGAGGTCACACTTGCCCCCTACACAAGCCACACCAGCGCTCTGCCTGGGTGCCGGCGCACCATACAGCTCTCCCTTCTTCACGCAAACAGGGTGGTTCTAGGGGGACAGAGAAGCGCAGGAACAGAATTCCATCCAGTTCCAGGGGCTGAAGGTGCTTCTGTCTGCGTTCAGTCCTGGCTCCAGCTCTGATTGTTAACGGTCAGAGCTGCGAGGCCTCAGTGCCGGCACTCCACGGCCACGGTCCAGCGCTGCTGCTTGCCTCGAACTTGGGGGCCCGCTGCCCGGTTTGGTGTGCAAGAGGGTCACCTGGGAGCTTGTTACCATGCAGATTCCTTGGCCCCTCCTCTCAGAGACTGGTCCAGCAGGCTGTGCCCGGGAATCTGCCTTTCCCCTGGCACTAGTTAGTTTTTAGTTCTTGCCACGTCGGTCTCAGGTCCCAAGAGCTCCGCTCCACAGACCGCCCTCCACGCTGATGACCTTGTCTCTTGCACTGCGGGACAGATGGGATTCCGAGTGTCCCGGGGGGCCGCGGTGTCACTCTTGCAGCTCTACATCGCTGCTTAGCGAGCTTTTCTCCTCGTGTGCATTTTCTCCCCCAGCTGTCATTTGCGTCTTAACCTTGATGTTTTCCATCACGCAGAAACTCTGAATGTGTTTGTGGTAAAAATCTATCTTTTCCCTTATTATAAAAACCTTTTAGGTTTCACGTCATTTAGAACAGACCTTCCCACACCAGAGGTACAAAAATACCCTGTATTTTCTGCAGTAATTTTATAGTTTGAACTTTTTGATATTTTCCCCTCTGGAATTAATTCTTGTGGAAACTATGAGGCAAAGAGCTAACTTTCAAAGATAAAGTACTAGTTACTAAATAATCCGTCTTTTCCCCCGTAAATACTGCTTTTATCCTAAACCCCCAAACAGCTGGGTCTGTGCACGGCCCGCCCCCCTTGTCCCTCCAGGACACACGCACGGGACTCGTCACGGTCGCTTGAGCACCCCTCGGGAAGTCCCGCAGGCCGAGTGCCCTCCACCCCCCCTCCTACGGCACGGCCACCCCCGACTGACGCATCAGTACTCACAACTAGTATTCTCACACGTTTACTCTTCCCAATGAACTTTAGAACTTGTCAAATTGCAAAAAATATCCAATCTCACTGGAATAGGATGAATTTATGGGCTGTCTGGAGACAGCCGGAGTCTATACAGGAAACTGCTAGTGTCAGCGGGGTCAGCTTATGGAATCAATGCTCTTGCTAGGTCTGCAGTTGACTTCAGGGGCCGGCCCTCCTGTTGTCCCCACGTAATGACAATTGTACCTCGTCTCCATCGCCCTCACCGGCCACACCGCCGGGCTCGGCTGTGCCGGGACTTCCCTCAATACCAGTAGGGCCTCGGCCGGCTCTGGACTCCAGCAATGCCGTTCCCTGTGGGTTTCTGATAGCAGCCTTGATCTACATCAGCACGTCCCTTTCTAACCTTAAACCTGTAAGAAGGGGTAGCTTGTGAATTTGGCCGATGTCGTTTCAGCATCGGTAGAGGCTATCGTGAATTTTTCTCTGTTAATTGGAGCGGAAATAAAGCAGCCGCGGTGCCTGCAAATGACGCGCACACCCCTGGTCCCGCGCCAGGACCGCTCCTGGCCCTCCGGGAGGGGGGGCACCGACGTGGAGCCCTGTGGCCTGGCTGGAGGGGCGGCGCCAACAGCCCTCTCAGGTTGCCCGCGCCCGGCGTCTCGGAGGCTCCGCTGTCTCTCCAGGGAAGGAAGCCTGGTTGACCACACACCCCCCACAACGATTGGAAGGAGCTCTGGGGGACAGTGGGGTGCAGAGTACAGGAACCGAAGAGGCGTCAGTGGGGTGGAGGACCCCCCACGCCCCGCCACCTTCCCACAAATCAACACACAGACCAAGTGCCCAGCCCCAGACGGGGATTTGTACCTGAAGTGTCCTGCGACCTCTGGCGCAACAGCGTCTAGTGACTCCTCCTGCCACACTGCAGCCCCTAGCCAGGGCGGGCGGGTCCCACAGCCGTGATGCCTCCTCCACCCGCTGCTGGCTCAGTCCCCATTCCCCTCCTGCCTGCCGAGCAGGGACAGGCAGTCCCTACACGACCCCGGGATCCCCCGTCGCCAGCCAGCCCTGAGGCCGGCCGTTACCCCCTGGGCCTCCCCTACCCCTCCTGCTTCTCCGCCATCCCACTCTGGGAAAAGACTGGGTGCTTGGGCCTGTGCCCAACGGGGCGGCCACTCGCACCCCGAGCCGAGGCCGGCCCTGCCCACCCCGACCTTGGGCCGGGTCTCCCTGATCTCGCCAGTGTGGGCCCTGGCTCCCCAACACCGGGCCGCGGGCGGCCCCCGCACACAGAAGCAGCCACAACCAGGAAACCAGGGCCGAGCCCAGTCTGTCGGGTTCTGAGAGGTAGATCAGCACAGGAGACGCCCTGCGTGGCTCGTCCGACCCGGCCTTGTGTGGGAGGCAGTCTCTGTGGACGGACCTGGTCTCCGGGCCGCGGGAGGCCCTAGCCCAGGCGGAGGCGGAAGGTGGCGACCTCCATGGGCTCCAAGTAGACGTCAGTGCCGTTGGAGGGCGCGGCCAGCGGGTACAGCAGCGTCAAGGACGTCGGCTGCAGGAAGCCCACGTCCAGGCCGTGGAAAAGGCTGCCCAGGGCCACCTGTGCGGAGGAGAGCGGGCAGGGCTGTGCTGGGGGCGGGCACGCCGGACGAGGCAGCTGCTCCCCCACCCCACCCCAGGGCCTGCTGCAGCCCCGCTCAGCAGCCAGGTGCCCCTCACATGTGCAGGCCTGCACCCATGCGCCCTATCTCAGGCTCGCCCACGCGGCCCGAGCCCGGAGCCTGCCCTTGGGCCGAGGGTCGGCCCCGGCCCTGAGCTGTGAGCCGTCTGAGCGCAGGGCCTGCGTCTGGGTTCACTTCTGAGCACCCGGAGGCTTTTTGTCAGGGCCGGCTTAGACCGCGAACGAGCTGGACGGCTTTCGGTGTTTTATTCCTGTGACTCCTGCTTTGTTGGGTGGGCGCCCCTGCCCGGGGGAGAGAGGTCCAGCTGCGTGCCTCACGGAGAACCTGCCCGCCGGCCCTCAGCAGCTCTGAACACGAGTGTCGGCAGCTTCCCCCTTGCTCTCCGCCAAGGCCCAGAGTGACCCCCGCCCTCCGATCTCGGCCAGACCCCACTGCAGTCTCACCCGCCTCTCTTCGCTCACGCCTGCCCTCCCCAGTCGCCCCGTTTCCCTCCCTCCCTCCCTCCCCTCGTCAGGGGTTCTTCCCGCACCCGGGCCCTGCTCACCTTGCCTTGGCTCGTGGTGCAGTTGAAGCCCAGGTTCTTGGCCTCGAGGCCACAGTCAAAGCCTTTGCGGTGTAGGATGAGCGCGGCTTCCGCCGAGGGCAGGGCATCGTCCTGGGTGACAGACAGGCGGCACAGAGGCAGTGAGTGTGTGAGAGAGTGTGTGTGTGTGAGTGTGTAAGAATGTGTGTGTGTGTAAGAATGTGTGTGTGACTGTGTGAATATGAGAGAGTGTGGGGGGTGCTGCTCAGGGCTCGCAGGTGCAGCAGCCCCCCTGCCCAGAGGCGGGACAGGGACAGGGAGGAGTCTGGGTGAGGCCCCGGAGGTGCAAGGCCGGCGGGGCGCTCACCTCGGCGTGCAGCGTGCGCAGGTTGAGCAGGTGGAAGTCGCAGGGCAGGGAGGCGGCCAGGGGGTGGAAGGAGCGCAGGCTGGGGGCGGGGCGCTGCCTCTTGGCCACAGGCAGGGCGAGCACCGGGGCGTTCAGGGACACGGAGGTCAGGTGGCTGAGGAGGGACGGGTAGCTGGAGGAGTGGCCGTCTGGGACCTGCAAAATCGGCCCAAGACGCGGGTGAGGGGACAGAGCCGGGGACGAAGCACAACCGAGTGGGTCCCTTTGGGAAGAGCTTCCCTGCGGGGGGCCGGACACGGGGCGGGCCTGGCTCTGGGATCCGTCCAGCACGGCCACCCCTGTGGCACGCCACTCACAGAGGGCTTCTGCCCTCAGCCACCTCGCCTCTGCTTTGGGTTTTTTTTTTCTCTTTCCTTCAAGGACAGTCGTGAACACCACACTCCACCAGCAGCACCTGCCGCCACGTGGGGAGACTCTCAGCGCGGGTGGCGGGGGGGCGGCAGGCAGACGGCCGAGCGTCCCCGGGGGGCCGGGCCTCCAACGGAGGAGGCCCCAAGTGAGCCCCCCAACCCGGCCCCAGCCCCGACCCTCGGGCCCGGTGGTTCCCACAGCCGTGCCGGCTGAGACCGCCTGGGTGGCCGACCTGGACGTATGTCACACACTCGGGACCCTCCGCGACGGCCGCTTCCCATGTCCTGGGTTTCTGTCCCTGGCCCCCCCCGCCCTTTCCACTGGCCCAGAACCTCGCTGACCCCCGGCCTGTCCTCAGTGCCGCAGCAGCCGGGTCCGTACACCCACTCGGCCCCCGCCTCTGCCCCGACCCTCTCCCGCCCACGGCTCAGGGGCCGGCCACCAGCCTTTCCTGCTTGAGAGGCCCCCGGACCGTCCTCCTTCCCCCAGATCCACCCTCCCTGCTGCTGTTGGAGCGACCTGCCCGGGGCAGAGTCCTGATGACAACGTCCCTCCTGCCCGAGATCCTTCGCTGGCCTCCGGGGTGCAGTGCGGACCCCGGGCCAGGCACGCAGCCTGCCCCCACCGACCCCGAGCCGGCCCAGCGCTGCCGTGACTTCCTGCGGCGACGGAAACACGCGCCAGCTGCACTGACACGGCAGCTGCCTCCACGTGTGGCCATGGAGCACCTGCCTGCCGTGCGGTGAGTGAGAGTGAAGAGCTCACCGGTCTTTGTGTTTAGCTCTGGTTCATTTAAACAGCCGCCCTGGACAGGCAGCTCCAGTCTGAGGGATTGCACTGCTAGTCCCCATTCACCCCAGCCACCCGCACCTGGACGGCACCTCCTCCAGGAAGCCCTCCTCGATCCTCTGGCCCCCCACCCCCACCCACGAAGAGTCCAGGAGAGCACAGCCAGTGCCCCAGGCACGGGAGAGCGCAGCAGGTGCGCGGGGGCTGCTTGAGACACAGAGCCCGGAGGCGGAGGGGCAGGGGGCCGTAGAGGGTGCCGACGCCCACCACCACCTGCCGGCACTCACTCCGCACCCACCGCCGGCCCTCACCTCTCGGTCCCTGCTCCTGCTCGTGGGAAAGACCGAGTCCCTAACCGTGGCTGCCAGTCTGGAGAAAAAGCCAGGCTGCCGGGGGCAGAGAAAGCCACGGGATGAACAGGCTGCTGGGGGCCGAGGGGGCCGAGGGGAAGGGGTGGCCGAGGAGCAGGAGGGCCCTGGAAGCAGGTGCGGCGGGCAGGGAGGTGCCAGGCTGCAGGAGGCGGGGCTTCGGGGCATCAGGCTTCCTCCCCGCCCGGAAACCCAGCTTTGCTCCCGCCTCCCCGCCCAGCTCCAGCTGGGCCCCTCCAGCCCTTGGCCGGCACCGCCCCGGGGCCGCCCACCCTGCCCCGCAGGCCCCGGGTCTACCTCGCTGCCCAGGGTGCGCCGCTCCAGCAGGAGGCGGAAGCGGTTGCAGGTCCTCTTGTTGTCCTTGAGCCCTTGGCCCAGGCCGCGGTTGTCGTCCTGCATCAGCCTCCGGTCCAGGATCACCTCCAGCTGGCCTGCGGGAGTGGCCTGTGAGTGCCCGGCCCGAGCAGACAGTGGCCTCTGGAGGACCCCCGACCCCAGGCCCCTGGGTGGGGGGACAGCCCTGCGGGCGGATGGCCGGAAGCTCGGTCACTGGGGAGAAAAAGCACCCTGGGACCCGGGGCTGGAGGCGGGCAGGCCGGCCCTGGCAGGTCACCGTCCGGGCTCCGAGACTCACAGCCGGGCCCGGCCAGAGATCCAGGCAGGAGACCGGCCCGGACCGGCTGCACAAACACACTGAGCGGGCAAAGGCAAGACTGCCGGCGCCCGCCCCCCGCGGCCACTGCCAGGGCCCTGCCGGGGCCGGCTCTCGGGCGGAGCGGAGCCTGGTGAGACCACGCATCCGCTGCCCCTGCTCCGGGTGGGGGGGACCGACCCCCGCTCTGCCCGTCCGACCGTCAGGAGGGCTGCGGGGAGGACAGCCGGAGGGCCAGTCAGGCAGAGGCTCAAATGAGGTGTCATTTGGGGGCACCCTAGGGGAGAGAGACAGGGGGTGATCACCTTGTCTTCTTTTAAAATACGCTTGGGGACGGGGCGCACTGCAAAGCTGGCATGTGTGGGGGATGAGCGTCTTCCCAGCAGCTGTTTTTTATTTTGTTTTAGGAGCCCCCAGGGGAGCCCCCACGGAGGGCCCCACCCGCCCTTCCGCTGCCCGAGCCCTGGCTCCGGCTCTGGCAGTTCCTCGGTCGTCGCCCTGAGCGACCACAGAAAGGTAGCTGGGAACCCCAAACGGCCTCCTGGCACGTGAGACAGTCATTTCTCAGCACGCGGTTCCCGGAAGGGCGGAGAGAACCAGGCGGGACGAGGCTCCGGGCAGGTTCTACAGCCGCTGACCCCGCCGGGTGGGGGGTGGGGGGCGGGGGGCGGGGGGTGGGGGTGAGGGCGGCAGAGAGCCCCGCGGCTCCCAGCCCCGCGCTCACCAGCGGCCCCACGAAGCTGGGAGGGGACTCTCCACTGGGCCCCGCACCAGGCCCATCTCCAAGGGCGACCTGACGCCCTCTGGGGCCACCAAGTGCGAGGTGTCCGCTCCGCCCCGAGGGCGCGGAGACGCCCGGGCTTGCCCAGCGGACCAGCTCCAGGGCAGTGCTCCGAGCGTCCTTGTTCTGAGTCTTGAGAACGTCATTCTCTCTCTTAATGACCGTGAGTAGGAAGACAGCGTGTAATTTCCTCCTTGGCTATTGGTTTCATTGCAGCATCGATGTGCTTTCCCAACAGTCCCCCTCCCATCCCGGGCCAGGAGGGGGCTGCACACCGCCGCCGAGAACCACCATTCGCTATTCGGCCGCCCCTTGAGGGGGTCTACCAGGGCACCCACCCCCTGGACGCCTCCACCAGGGCAGAGGGTGACAGCGGTGCCTGCCCGCCTCCAGCAGCTGTGACTGACAGCTGATGATGCCCCCCCGCTTCCCTCGTGGGGGTGAGGCCGACTGGAAGGAAAGAAGGAAGAAAGGGAGAAAGGGAAGAAGAAAGGAAGGGAGGAAGGAAGGGAGAAAGGGAGAAAGGGAGGGAGGAAGGAAGGAGGAAGGGAGGGAGGAAGGGAGGGAGGAAGGAAGGAGGAAGGGAGGAGGGAAGGAAGGAAGGAAGGGAGGGAGAAAGGAAGGGAGGGAGGAAGGGAGGGAGGAAGGGAGGGAGAAAGGGAGGAAGGGAGGGAGAAAGGAAGGGAGGGAGGAAGGTAGGGAGGAAGGGAGGAAGGAAAGGAGGGAGAAAGGGAGGAAAAGAGGAAGGAAGAAGGAAGGGAGGGAGGAAAGAAGGAGGGAGGAAGGGGGAGGCCCTGGGGCAGGACACGCTGCCCCTCCCGGCCTCTTCCCCACTCACCATCGCGGAGGCTGGAGACGCCCAGGGCCTGGGCCGTGTGCAGCGTGAGGCGGCTCCGGGCGTCCTGGAGGTAGGCCATGACCGGCATGGGGTAGAAGTTGGCCTGCAGGGGCAGCTTCTTCAGGTACCGCCGGGGCTGCACCTGCGGGCAGGGCCGGCCAGCAGGTCAAGGGCAGCTGGGCCGTCCCGGGTCGGGGCTAGTGGTCCCTGACCACGCTGGCTGGCTCCCCCCTTCCCCATCGGGGCAGACCCCCGCTCCCCACCCCCACCCCACCCCCTCGCCGCACGCACACCCTGGTGCCTGTGACGGAAGCAAACGCCGTTCCCGCTGGGTCCCTCGGGGTCCCCAGGGCACGCCCCCCCCCCCCCGGAGTCACCTGAAAGCCGTTGAGGTCCGTGAAGAAGGTGCCCTGGCTGCCGATGTCCGTGCGGAGACGCACGGCCAGCTCCTTGTTGACGTAGTCCCGGATGTCCACCAGCGACGACAGCTCCAGGGACAGCCCCTCCACGCCTGCGCGCGGGGACCGCAGGAGAGCAGAGAGCGCACCACCGAGGCGGCATGAGAGACGGAGCCGCAGCGCTGTGCCCACCCTGCCCCCGCCCCCCCGGGCCATTCCCAGCGCTTCCTCCTGGACGACCTGGCCTCCAGGAGAATTAGTGAAGCGTCCTCCCAGCCCCCGGGGTCGCTGCTCAGGAGCAGACGCAAGAACAGAGCACGGGCAGAAGGGAGAGCGTGTCACAGTCGGGGGGTGGTGGGGTGGTGGGGTGGTGGGGTGGTGGGGTGGGCCGGCCCTCCCTCGCTCCTTCCCTCCCTCCCTCATCCGCACAGCGCACCTGGCAGGTTGTACAGCCGCACCACCTGGTGCACGTGCTCGTAGTAGGCCGCCACCTCGGAGAAGAAGGGGCCTTCCGTGACACGCAGCACAGGGGGGTCCTTGGGCACGTACGGCTGGGGGAAGAGCAGGTGGCAGCTGAGCCCACAGCGCAGAGCAAAGCAGGTGGGCACCAGCCCGGGGCCAGGCAGGGAAGTAGTTGTTCTGTGCAGGCTCTGGTGCCCCCCAACCTCCCACAGGCAGCAGGCCCCCCCCCGCCTGGAGGAAGGCCCGCGCCCCGCTCACTGCCTCCGTTCACAGGTCTCGGGGTGCAGGGCCCAGGCCCGAGGGGCCCCGCCACGTCTGCCGGGTACCTGGGCCTCGCCGTCAGGCAGGAAGAGGTAGGCTCCGCTCTTGTCCTTGGACGTGCGGGTGCCGTAGACGAGGAACTCCATGTCCACGCGCTGCTCCTGCTCCTCGTCCACCCTTCGGATGCTCTGCCAAAACACACAGCCCTGACCCCTGGCCCCACAGCGGCGCGTCAGGCCTGCCCCCGGGAGGGCTGGACGAACCTCCCGACAGAGCCACGCACGCGCCCCCCCCCCCCCCGCACGCGCAGCCGCACGCCCTCCTCCGGCCCCCGCCCTGGCCCTTTACCTTGAGGAGCCCGCTAAGGCCTGAGAACCAGACCTTCATGTAGCGGTTGCTGATGGCAAAGTCGCCGGCGCCGGAGTCGACGACGCGCAGAGGGAAGGCCTCGTGCCGGCTGACAGCCAGCCGCCGGCCGTGCAGGTGGACGCGCGTGGAGGAGGGCAGCGTGCGGTGTCCGTCCAGGCCCAGCTGCAGCTGCAGCACGCCCAGGCCCAGCGCCGGCAGCCGGACGGGCACCGACACCTGCCGGCACAGGGCGGCGAGGGAGCGGGGGCCACGGCCCGGGCCTCAGGGGTGGACCCGGGCCCGGGACTCTGCTCGCGGGGCCTGAGCAAGTCCCCGCACCCACTGGTGCCTCTGCCCCGCCTCTGAAAGGGGAGGTTACAGAACCTGCCCCCGTCAGGCTGTTGTGAATCTCATACGGAGAACCTGGGAATTGGCAACCCCACGCTGACCCCTCAGTACAGGCTCGCGGAACGAGCGACCGATGCGGCAGCCTTCGGGCTCTCACTGCCACTCTGCCAAACCACCCTCCCTTCAAACACTGACTCAAGTCCCCAAAGTGATGGTCCCCAGGACTCCTGTCCCCACCCCGGGGAGCGGGTGGGAGGGTGGGAGGGTGGTGCTGAAGGGCAGAGGGCCAGAGCCCCCCTGCCGTGTCCCCCCCTCACCTGGTAGACGTCGGGGACCATTTCGGTGGCGGAGCTCCAGTGGGCGCTGACCTGCACGGCCAGGGGCTGACCCTCCTCCGAGAACACGCGCACGTGGGGCGAGCTGACCAGCAGGGACGCCACGCTGAGCCGCTCGTGCTCCAGCGGGTTGAAGAGCACCACGTACCTGCGGGGGAGGGGGGGTGAGCTCGCCCAGGGGGCCCCTGCGCCTGGCTGGCAGGTGCGGGGGGCAGGCGGGTGGGAGAGGCTCTGCCTCTGCACCTGGCCTGTTTCCACCCACCTGGGTGAGGCGTCCAGCTGGACCACAGCGCGCTCCGGCAGGGCATCGTGATTCAGGCGGCTGTCATCCTGGAATTCAGTGGGTGGGGAGGGCAGAGCCGGCGTGAGGCTCCGCCCCGCTCCGCATCCTGCCCCCGCCCCCTGTTCCCACCGTCTGTCCTGGGTGGGGACCGCCAGGTGCACGGGGCACACATCCTCACCTCGGCCATGATGAGGAAGAGAAACACCCCCCACCCCAGCTCCCGGGCGGGGCTGCACACACCAGAGGGCCCCCCCCCACCCCCGGCAGCAGACCCCTGCAGGGGGGGGCTCACCGTCTGGAGGAAGGGTGCCGCGGGGTCAAAGTGGTAGGTCTCCTTGTCGCCCAGCACCAGGTAGTGAGCTGCGTTAATGATGACCTGCTTCAGGCCCACGAGGGAGCGCAGCAGCCTGGGGAGGCAGGAGGGGGGCCGCGGAGGAGGTGACCGCAGGCACTCTGTCCGCGCTGCCAGCGGGCTGGGGCTCCAGGAGGCCTGCCTGACGACCGCCCGGCACGCCCTTTCTTTGGGGAGGCAAGTAGGGGCGTGGAGCCCACGGGGAGAGGCCAGGGCCCGCACCTGACGCCGTAGTCCGCCACGACGGCCTCCTTGGCGGTGCCAGTGATGGCGTCGTGGTGCTGGAAGAGCCCCAGGGTGCGCCGAGCTTCCGTCAGGAGGGCCAAGTTCGAGAGCGGGTACTGGCTGGCCAGTCCGGCGCGGCGGGCGTGAGCGACGGCCAGGCTGTACAGAATCTCCGCCCCCCTGCCCGGAGAGACGAGTCGGCGCCGGCCCACACTAGTCCAGGGTCCCACCCTCTGCTCCCCACCGCGCATGCCCCCGGCCCCCCCCCGCCCCCCCGCCCGGGTCTCACCGCAGGTGGGCTTCCAGGACGCGGTCCAGGCTCTTGTAGAACGGCCGGGAGGTGTAATAGCCTGTCCAGTAATGGTCCTCCCGGTCCGCGTAGGAGAAGAAATCTCCACTCAGCACAGGAAACCCCGGGGGCTGGGCCCCTGGCTCCACCCCCGTCCTCTTGTACAAGGCGTCAAAGTAGTCGGAGAGGGTGCCAAACTGGGCCTGTGGGGACCCCCAAAACCCGTCCCCATCAGTGCCAGCGCCTCCCGGGGATGGTGGACCAGTGGCTGCAGCCAGGGACCCGTGTGCGCAGTCCCGTCCTCCCCACCCTCCGCTCCGCACGCACCAGCGGGGCCCGGGAAGGAAGGCGGAGAGAAAAACGGAAGCCCTGCGGGGGGTCAGCGGTGAGCCCTGGTCTGAAGCCAGGAGCGCGTGCTGGGGCTGCGCGGGGAGGGGCCCTCACACCTGCACGTGGAGGTCAGGCTTGCTGTTGAGGAAGTCGAAGAGCCGCTGGTAGTTGAAGAACTGGGCGTCCCACTCCTGGGGCTTGTCGTAGCGGAAGTCGTCGCCCAGCGGCACCAGCAGGACGTTGCTCCGGAAGAGCCGGGACTTCTTGCGGTACTGGTCCAGCAGCAGGGCTGCCCTGCGGGTGCGAGCGCGCGGCGTGCGTCTCCTGTGGCGTGGCGGCATCCTGGGCAGAGCCAGCCCGGGAGGCCCCTCCGCCGCCGCCCCATCAGGAGTCGCCCGCCTGCAGGCGCGCCGTCCGGCCCCCAGCCTTCTCCCCGAAGTCCCCACAAGCGGAGAGCTCTTTCCGCTCTGGCCTGCACCGTGCCTTCCCCTCCCTGACCCCACGCCCATGGTTCCCCTTCCGACGTAAAAGATGTGCCCGCGCTCCTCTGTGCAGGGACCCAGTGATGGACACGATGGATACTATGGATACGGGGGACAAGGGAAGACAGAACCGCACTCCCTTCCGGTCTGGCGCCCCCACGGGAGCGGCGTGCGTTCACCCGGGTGCAGCTGGCAGCCCCCTCGGTCACCCACAGCGCTATGTTCTCCAGGCCCGAGGCTCTCAAGGTCTTTTCTCCTCATCCTGACCTTTCTATTCCCTTTCCTGAAGCGAACTGTGGAAACCTACATCTCTACCTAATAAACCTGAGGTGGTGAGATCCAACCTACGTCCCAAAATGTGGAGATGGCTCGGGATCCAGCTTCATCCTGCCCACCAGTTAGGGAGGCAGCCCTGCGGTAAGGGGCCTGGGCTCGCGAGCCAGACCCCGCCCACACCGACTCAGTGTGCATGAGCTGAGCGATCTTCAGTGAGTGACTTAACCTCTCGGCCTCCGTTTCTATAAAATGAGGCAACATCAGCACCCACCATCCTAACGTCACAAGAGTTAAAATGAACTGCCTGCCCTGGCTGGCGTAGCTCAGTGGATTGAGCGCAGGCTGGGAACCAAAGCATCGCAGGTTCGATTCCCAGTCAGGGCACATGCCTGGGTTGCAGGCCACGGCCCCCAGCAACCGCACATTGATGTTTCTCTCTCCCTTCCCTCTCTAAAAATGAATAAATAAAATCTTTTTAAAAATGAATTGCATGCGTTAATCTTTGCTAGAACACTTGGAATAGTGCCTGGCACCTAGTAAGAACTAGAGATAAACACTTTTCTTTTTCACCCAAATCGGTACACAAACAGGGCCCTGTAGCATATCCTCAAAGCCCTTTTCTCTTTTTAGATCAACCTATCAGTAAGTCGCGTGTCGTGGGGGTCAGTGTTCAGTCAGCCACTAAGCTACTTCACCGCGCTGGTCGGCATCTGCTCTTCTGTTTTGTTTTGGGGAGAGGACGCCTCTGATACCGTTTCCCCCTAATTTATCAGCCCGGGAAGTCTTTCAAAGGAAGAAATGAGGTGACTCTCAGGACTTGCTCGCTGCACACCGGGGCTGGCCTCTGAGGCTCCCGGTGGCTGCTTTAAGAAGAATCCGGCCCTGGCTGGTGCGGCTCAGTGGACTGAACACCAGCCTGCAAAGCAAAGGGTCGCCGGTTCCATTCCCAGTCAGGGCACGTGCTGGGGTTGCGGGCCAGGTCCCTGGTGGCGGTGTGTGAAAGGCAACCACACACGGCTGTGTCTCTCCCTCTCTTTCTCCCTCCCCTCCCCCTCACTCTAAAAATAAATAAATCTTTAAAAAGAAAAATCCTGCCTCCGCAGCCCTAGGTGCTTATTTGGGAGCAGCATTTAGGTTTCTGGATTCCGGAAACAAAGGACCCCTTTCTTCGCCTCCAGTCACATGTTCTATCTCTTGGGCCTCACGGAAATCAGAGTACGGCAACGTGGAAACCAGTCCGACCGGCTACGTGCCTTAGGCAGCCTGGTTCTGGCTCAGTCACGGTTTTCTGTCACCCTGAGCCTGCTCTTTCCCAGGGGGTGGGCCTCAGAGACAGGGACACTTTAGGGGCCCCTGCTGAGTCTCTCAAAGGGAATGAGCCCACTTTCTCCGAGGCCAGAGGCTGCTGGGCAGGACCGAACGTGCACTTGCATTAGGTCCTCAGGACACAGAGGGTCCTGGCTGACTCGGGGCCAAGGCAAGGCGCCTGAGCTCAGGGACGATGGCCTAGGAGGCCGAGGGCTGGAGGGAACCGTACCCAACCCGAGAACGACTCGCCCCTGAGTCAGCCAGGCAGCTCTGGCAGCTTGCCGGGACGCAGGGACACGTGCCCGCTTGGGACGTGAAACCATCCGGCGGAAGGCGGTTCCTTCCAGCCACATGTTTTCCGGGGAGGCTGGTGAGGGAGCGGCTGCCGCAGGGGCAGTGGGCCCGACGCACCTCCTGAGCCCCCGGCCCGCCCGAGCCCCCAGCCCGCCCGAGCCCGGGGCTGGCGCCAAGTACCTCTCGGCCACGTTGGCCTCCGTGATGGCTCGGGGGGGCACCTTCCAGGGGCAGTTGATGCGCCCGCCGGGCAAGCGTTTGAAGTCGAACTGGCAGCAGATCTTGGGGTCCGGGCCGCAGGTGTGGGGCACGTCGTAGCTGTAGAAGGGCATCATGTGGCAGAAGATGTCCGTGGTGGAGTCCGAGTCTGAGGGAGACACAGCGGGCAGTCAGCCGCCGCCGACCCCGCCGTCGGGAACTGGGCACCGGCGCGCGGGCAGGACGGGGGTCTGCTGAAGCTACAGGCAGCCCCGACCGAGGCGGGGATCGACCCAGGCTCAAGGCTGCAGAGGACAGGCAGGCCGAGGGTCAGGACACAGTGGGGACTCCGGAGCACGCAGCTCCCCCATGGGACGGCTCGCCCACACCCTGGGGGTGAACAGTGGGTCCCATAGAGGCAAGACGTGAATTTGATCTTCTCCCACCCAGTGCCTGGGGACCCCCGCTCTGCTCCAGGGAGAACGACCACCACCACCCCATCCACCCTGCCCGGCCTCACCCCAGGTCTGCCTCCACATGAACTCCAGGCTGTGGGTGGTGGCAAAGTGCTTCTTGATGGCGTAGTGCACCCTCTGAATCAGCATGCTGGTCAGGTTGGCCCGGCGCAGCAGGTACGCCATGGTGGGGCTGTGCCCGAAGGGGTCCACCGCCCAGCCGGAGCGCGGGGCTGCACCTGGGCGGGGCCACGGGAGCCAGAGGCCCCCCCTGAACACCTCAGTGCCGGGCCTCCCGGTACCGGGGCCCCAGCTCCCCTCACCCTGCCATCACACCGGGGCCCCTGACGGGGCAATTAGCACACCAAGGAGCCACCCCCCGCCCGCCCCTGCACCTTACAGCCCCCTGCTGTCCTTGGGGGTCCAGCTCTGGGGGCAGACTCTCTTCCCCGGCCTCACCGAGGTTTTTCTCCAGCCACTGGTGCCCCTCGATGAGCTGGTCGATCAGCGCAAAGTAGTGGGAGTTGGCCTCGTCGGGCATCACCCAGCCTCCCGTCACAATCTCCAGCTGCCCGTTCCCCACCAGCCTGGAGGAGGTGAGGACGCACAGTCAGCGTGGGGCGGGGACAGGTGCGCACTCGTGCCGAACGGGACATGCCGGGCCTGTGCACCGCGGCCTCCCTGAGCCAGCTCACCGACACCTGCGACCCAGGGGCCGGACGCGTGCCCTCCCCTCCTGCCAGCCCTGGCCCTGCTGACCCGCAGACCCCATCCGGGCGCCCAGGAGCCTGGCCCCACGCTTCCCCTTCTCTGTGCTCACGGAGCTTTGCTTTCTCCTAACACAAGCGACCCTCAGACCAGTGACCCTGCCTCCTCGTTCTGGGCCCCTCCACCACCCAGCTGCACCCCCACCCTGCTTCCCCTTGCGGCTCCTGCCACAGCTGCGACCACAGTGGCTCCTCTGGGTGAGACCCGGGCCCTGGGGGCCGCCCTCCCCCGCCCCCCGCCGGGCACTGGCCTGCGGACCGCTGCTCTCTTCTGGGCGTTGATGTTGTCCCACCACTTGGCGAAGAAGGAGACCTCGGCCCAGAGGAAGCGCCGCCGCGGGTCCTCCTGCAGCTTGGACACCATGCTGTTGAGGATGTGCTGCGTCTGCTCGGAGTAGTACTTGTCGAAGGTCTTGATCCAGCCTGGGGGGCCCGACACGGGGTCCCCTGAGGACGCCGCGCCCGCGGCGACCCTCCCCCTCCCCGACCCCTGCCGTCGGAGGGAGGGCCCGCCCCGCAGCCCAGCTCCGGCTGGCCCCCACCTGGGTCGTTGTGAGAGTGGGGCACCACGAACACCTGCAGGTCCTCGGCGTCCCAGTCGTGCGGGCCGTAGGAGATGTCGAAGCCTTGCTTCCACACGCCGCCGTCCACGTTGTCGAAAGGCAGCTCCTCCGACACGGTCAGCATCTGCGGAGCGGGACGGTGGCTCGGTGAGGCCTCCGTGGCCGCCGGGGGCGGGGGGGGGTGCGGGGAGCGCCTGCCAGCTGGGGCTCTTACCTGCAGCTCCGGCTTCTGGCCCCGGCCCCCCAGGGCAAACTGGCAGTCTTGCGGGGAGACGGAGAAGAAGCTGGGCCGGGGCTCTGGCGGCACCACCCAGGAGCCGTTGGCCGTGTAGTAGGGCAGCAGGGCGGGCGGGCCCTCGGCGTTGGCGGTCAGCTCCAGCACAGACTCCTTGATGTGGCTGATGATCTCGTGGTTCTCCTCCAGCAGCTGCTCCAGCTGCTGGATGCGGTTCTGCAGCACGGAAATTTGGCTCTGCCGGGAAACCAGAACGCCATCACCCGCAGCCCCTCGTGCCTCGGGGACCGTCTCCGCCCGGGGCCCAGGACCTGAGGCCTGCCTGCTGACCCCGCGCTCCCCGGCGGAAGGCAGGGCCACGAGCCCACGGGCGGTGGCTCTGGTTGGATACGGGAAGAGGTGCGAATCGCCACGGAGGACCGCAGTCCACTCGGAAGCAGCCTCACTCTCCAGTCCAGGGTGGCAAAGGTTGCACCTCACAGGCCTATTCCCACCCGCCGGCACGGCCCGTGTGGAGCGCCGGGCTGACCAGGGTCGTGTCCGGGCTCAGTGGGAGCGAACGGTGCGGTCTGTGAGCAATGGCTGCCGGGAATTCCCGAGACAGAGCAGCCGAACCTCACCGCCCTCCCTCCCCTCCCCCTCTCCTTGCCCGCGGGGAAGGACGGTTCTCACACGGGACTGACGAGGCTCCCCGGCCTGGACGCTAACCTCAGCCCGCACGACGTGTGTGTGTGTGTGTGTGTGTGTGCCGACAGCCTCAGACGCCAGGCGTGACTCACCCGAGGGAAGTTCCCGCCACTCTGGTGCCGGGCAGGGTCATGCTGCACTCGGTCCAGCATGAGGTAGAGCGAAAAGACCGCCACGCAGAAGACAGCTGCCCCACACACGGTCACCTGCTTCTTCAGCTTCATGCTGGCCTCCACGGACCCCTGGCAGGAGGGACACCGCATGGAGCGCCGCCGGCCAAAATCCCTTCGGCGACCTTTCCACCACACGCCCCAGTGAGTTCCCGAGGGCTGCTCCCAAGGAACCTCTGGGTGCGTGACTCCCCCCCCCAAAAAAAGCAAGCTTCGAGCCATCAAATCTCAACACTGCCCTGTGGGTCCTGACCCCACCTGGGTCTTCTCTTGGCCGAGATACAGAAAGCACAAGTAACGCATCCGAGGCTGGTCCCGCTTCACCCCGACAGCAGCTCTCCCCAGGCTGGTGCTAGGAAAAGCAAGACAGGATGACAGACTTCCCAGGTCTGGCTCCAGAGGCCACCACACAACCAACCTCCTGATTAGAACCAGCTTCCCAAAGGGCTTATCTGTAAGAAAGATTCCACCCAGCAAAGGAGGCGGCTGTCCAGGCTCCTTGACCACGTGGTTCTAGTTCCAGGGGAATAAACTGCTATCTGTTTTGATTGAACAGGTATACTCGAAGCCCAAAGAGACAGACAGGAAAGCCTTTCTCCCTGCGCGGTAGGTCCAGACTGGCACTGGGCAGAAGCCGTGCCTGGCACAGCCCTTCTCTCATTAGGAAATCCAGAACGAATTCAAAAAGCAGCAGCTTATATGTCTAACATGGACCGAGTTCTCTGTCTCCTCCTTGTTAGTTCTGACTCCGCAGTGGGTAACTTTCAGCCTCTGCTCACGCGGTAATTAGGTGACCCCCTGGGGAGCCAGCGGCGACTGATGCTGAAGATCCCCTGGGCAGGGAGAGGTCTGGCAGAGCTGTTCGGCTGTGGGGCAACTTCGGGCGCTGCCCCCGCCCCAGCCGGCAGGCCCCTCCTTGCGTGCTCCACGGAGGGAGGCCGCTAACTGCTAGCCAGCGTGAGGGGGACGCAGCTCTGAGTCTCGCTCCGGCCAGGGGCCCAAAGGCTCTGTCGCCTGTGCCTTGTGCCCTACTTAGCACAATCTGGTAGTGCTCAGAAGCCTCCGGGCAATATTTTTAGCCCTTGGAGGCGGATTCGAGGCCAAACTGGGTGGAGCTGGGGGATACCACCGGAGGCAAGCACCTGCGCCAGGTCCTCGGCTGCCCACCCGCTGGAAAGCCCCTCCTGGCCCGCCCCTCCTCCGCACGGACTCCGCAGGTCCCAGGACCGTGACAACTCCCCGGTGCGGGAGCACGGGCCGCTTTCGGCCCCGAGGCACGCTCGTGCTCCTGCTGCCCAAGCGGGCCGCGGCGGGATAGGCGAGCCCTCCCCCACGTCTGCCCGGCGCGTTACCGTCTGAGACTCGCCTCGCGCCGCTCCGGGCCCCGCCGGCCTCGCGGTGCCACTCACATCCCCGGGGTCAACGGCCCGCGCGAGGCAGCGACGCAAGGAAAGCGGCCGTCCGCCTACCCGTCGTCCCGGCTCCGCGCGTCGCAGCCGCGCTCCCGCGGGGCCCGGGCCGCCGGCGCGCTCCAACGCTCCCGCCTGCCCGCGCCGTCCCCTCCTCTAGCGGCCGGCAGAGCAGCGTGCGGGGCGGGGACAGCCGCACCCCCGCGGCCCCGCCTGCTCCTCGACCCCACGCAGCCCCGCCCGGCCCCAGCCCGGCCTCTCTTCTCCCGTGCTCGCCCGTTGCCTGGGACGGGGCCCGCAATGCGCAGCCGCAGTCCGCCCCGCCTGGGCGCGCTGCGGACCTGGGAGCAGGGGAGCGAGACTTTATTTGGTCTGAATCTTACTAGAGTAAGCACAGAATCAAACCCCGTGGCGCACTTCCCGCGCCCGCCCCGCTCCGCTCTAGGGGTCCTTACTTCCACGCAGCTGTTCTCAGGCAGAGAGGTGCTGCCCCCTGCCGGTGCGGCGCCTTCATCACCATCCCTCTCCTGCTTGCCACCCAAGGAGTTAAGTAAGGCAGCACGTAATTGCCTTGGTGATTCTCCTCTTATTGGGCGTCTGGGCTTTTGCAATTTTGAAGTATAATAAACCATACTGCGATGACCTTCTCCACTAAGTCCACGTCTGTCTTCTTTCTAAATGACCTTAGGACAAATTCACAGTAGCGCGGCAAAAAATAAGGACTGATATGACCGGTGATGAGCCGCACACCACGGCTCAATTGCACACTGTTGAATATTACTTTAACAATGGTTTTGTTGATTAACCGGATTTAAAATGGCACCTCGTTGTTTTAACTCCCATGTCTTGGATCACCATCCGGAACGTTTTTCTAGGTTTATGTACCAACTGTCACTAAGGCGGCAGACCCAGCCTGGGTCTCTCGCCTGTGCTCTGGGAGACATTATCTTCCAGCCCTTCTATTGAATTGTTCACTTTGGCAATCACGATCTTAATGTTCCAGAGCTCTTGTTTGTTCTCTCCTAGCTATCTTTTTTTTTTTTAATTGAGATATAGCCCTGACTGGTGTGGCTCAGTAGGTTGGGTGTCATCCTGCAAACTGAGGGGTCGGTGGTTCAATTCCCAGTCAGGGCACACGCTTGGGTTGCAGGCCAGGTCCCCAGTTGGGGGGAGCGCATGAGAGGCAACTGATCGATGTTTCTCTCCCTCTTTCTTCCTCCCTTCCCCTCTCCCTAAAAATAAATATATAAAATCTTTAAAAATAGAGGTATAACTTGTAGTATACGGTGCAAGTCTTAAGTGCACAGCTGGGTAAACTTCAATAGCTGTACACACAAGTATAATCACCGCTCTGACCGAACACAGAACATTCCCTTCACCCCGAAAGTCTCCCCCATGTCAAGAATCAAGCAGTCACAACGTGCGCTGTGGTGGCTCACTGCGCAGCTGTGAGGCGGGCCCGTCACACTTGCACAGACTCAGCAGGTAAGGAGGCGACGAGCCCCACGGGATCCAGACAGCTGACCGACCACTCAGACCGGCACGGAGTCCACTTCCTGCCTCCCTAGTCCCACAGGATGACACTGAATCGGAGGGACCAGGTAACAGGATGATGGGAGGTATGCGGGAGGTATGGGGGTGGGCCACTCCGTGGCTAAAGAGCCACCTCCAAACTGCAGCCAGCACTTGTGTGGCCTGGGGCCGCTCTGTAGAGTTGGCCGATGAAAAGGATGAAAAGCCCCACACTCAAGGGAGACTAGGAAGAGGGATGACCAGCGGCCCAGGGCGGTCTCCCACAAGCCAGGGCGTCTCCACTGTAGGCTGCCAGTCCCCTTGCTCCAAGCGTAATTACTTGTAGGGCATTCTCTCCAGACTGTCAAGACCCAGGCCAGCCTGCCCGAGCCCTGGCCACGTGGCCCACAGAGGGGAGACGTGCAGGGCGGCAGGAACACCTCGGGGAGCTGCGCACCTGCGCCCGCACACCTTGCCATTGGCACCCCTCAGATGTGGCCCTTCCTCTCGCTTCTCTGCGGCTTGGTTTTGCCTGTCCGTGAACTTCATAAAATGGATTGGAAGGATGCACTCCTGCCTGTCTGACTTCTTAGCATGTCTTCGAGAGCCATCAGGGCTGGTGCGTGTATGTACCGGGGAGTGCCCTTCCTTATTGCTGTATACGTGTTTGAGTCCTTGGCAGTTTAGTCTGGTCCTAACTCCTCTCTCCCCCTTTGGAATGTCAGTTACTCACGGATCGGAGTCCCATGTGCATCTTAGGCTGGTCCCCCCCCCCATTCTTCTCTCTCTCTCTGTACTTCCATTTAGGTACCTTCTATTAGATCTATCTTCGAGTTCACTAATTCTGTCTTCTAATGTGTCCCATTGCTATAATTGTGACTTTATCCCTTAGTTGTATGAAGTTTTATGAAACCTATCCAGTGAATTTGTAATTTCAGAGGTGGTGTTTTTTCCAGCTTTGCCTGCTCCTTTGATTCTTGTAAAGTGGATTCCAACCCTGTTGAAATTCTGTATATTTTTGTATCTATTGGTATATGTTCTGAACTTCTGTATATATTTGTGTATCTTTTTTGTCCATCATTCCCCACATTTAACATATCAACCATTAGTGCTGTTGAAATCCTTGCCTGCCACCTCCAATATCTGGACCATCTGTGGGTTTGCTTCTACTGTTTATTTATTTTTTCTCCTGTGTGTTGGCCCAATTTTTCTTTTTCCTTTCTTTTGCACATTTTATAGTTTTTGTTTGCATGATGCATGTCGGGTGTAAAACACAGAGTAAGGACCTCAGACTGTGTTATTCCTCACCTCCAGCCCCGCCCCCCCAACCCACAGGAGCCGGTCACCCCGATACGATATAACAACGTCCTGGGTCAAGTTGGGGCAGTTACAGTCCTGGTGAATTTCTCCAGGCCTCCTCTGGATTGCCCCTGTCCCTTCGGAGTGGCCCTCTTGGATTTGGGGTTGGAAGCCTGGCCAGTCTCTGTCTCTCTTAGCCCTGGCAATTCTGCTCCTCAGAGATTTTAGGGTGAGCTCTGCAGTCTCCCCATCCACACAGGTTCTAGGCCTGGCCAGTATCTTGTGGAGGGAGACCAGTTATTTGCTTGTTTTAGGCGCACCCCCCAAACACTGCAAGGCCGGGGGACTTGCCTTCCCAGCCCGGCCCCTTCCCGGAACTCAGAGGACATTCCAGGAGGAAACCTGGTGTTGCGTTTGGGACTCCTCGTGTGCCCGGTGGGCGTGACACAAATGGCCCGTTCCTCCTTTCCTCGGTGGTCTCTCCGTCTGGGACAATCCTGAGCTTCAGCGACGTCCCCAATTAGCAAATGTCTCAGGAAAGTAAGTAGCCACCCAGCTTCTGTTCACCCCGCAGGGGCCCTGTCCTCCTTGAAACCTTAGATTGTCCAATTCTCATCCTCCCCACACAATCCGTGCTCTTTAAGAGTGAAAGTCATCACGTGGTCCCCCCCTCCTTGCTGCAAGGAGCAAGCAGGCCTGCAGGGACCCGCCGCATCCTACCCAGAAGCAGAAGTTCTTCGGTTCTGCTTTTTACCCCTGCCAACAGAGATACATGATTTGCCTTCCTAGTGTTTCCATGCAGTCACGCACTAACTTGTTTCTAGAGAAGCTGTCGGGCTTTTATGTCTCTGAACACAGATGTTGACTATCTCCTCAACTTTCCCGAGGGAGGGCCATTGGGCCTCGGGGTTCTGCTTTGTTCTCGGGTGCCACCGCTCCTCCCTGGCTCCGCTTGTCAGTGTGTTAGGGTTCCTCGCTGCTGGACCTTCACTGGTGCTGCTGGCAAGGCCTGAGGTCTCCGGCAGTGCTACAGGTGCCTGGGGCCTCCACTTCCTGCTCTGCTACCCCGCCTGCGGCTCAGTGAGCTCGCGTGGGAGGTAAACAGCCCCCCCCCATTTCTATCTCTTCAGCCCCTCCAGTCTCCCCCCAGTGAAGCTCTAGCTCTCCCGGACTCTCCCCTCCGTGCTGAATCTCTCGGGACTGCTGCGCGCGTCCGCAGTGTTGGGAAGTCTCTGACATTTGTAAGCTCTTGACGTGCAGGCCTCAAGTGCCCGCCTGTATCTCTGTCTGGGCTGGACTTACGCGTCACGCCGACAACCCCCCAGGCCCCGCAAACCACGTGGGTTCCGCCCCGGGAACCCCGCCTCTATCCGTCCTCATGGGTGCAGTACGGACAGACACTCTGACCTTCCCAAGACCCGCCCTCCCGAGGAGCACGCACGCCCAGAGCACTGGAGGGCACAAGTGGTTTATTTGTTCCGCCTGGGAGAGGAGGCCTGGGCAGGAGCCTGCAGGCGCAGCAGACCCGGAGCTGCGTCCCCGGCGGCGGCGGCACGGGGAACATGGCCGGAGTCCAGAACCGCGAGGAGCCACCCCACGCGGTGAGCTGCAGCTGGGATGGCGGAGCGATCTTGCCGGCAGAGGCCGCTGGCTCGGGGAGCGGGGAGCGGGGAGCGGGCCCCGCCTCACCGGTGCCGCTTCCGGATGCTCTGCAGCTCCTGGTAGATGGTGCTGAAGCCGGGCCGCTGCCCGGGCTCGTAGGCCCAGCACTGCTCCATGAGCCTGAACACGGCGTCCGGGCACAGCTCGGGGCAGGGCAAGCGGCCCCCTGTGAGGACGGGCACAGCGGGCCGGCATGAGGAGGGGGTCTGAGGGCCCCCCCACCCCCCCACCCCCCCACAGCCCTGGGGCAGACCGTGAGCGATGGAGCCGCTGAAGCTGCTCTGAAGCGCTTCTCGAGGAGCCGCTCTCCCTCCCCAGAGCCCCGAGCGCACAGAGGTCCTGACCGCCATCCCACCAAGCGCTAGCTGCACCGCCTCTGCAAGCCGCAGTCTTTCCTTCTGCAAAAGGGGCACACTAATCCCCACCCCCCTGCTGTGAGGAGCAAACGAAGTAATGGACAGCCTGGGCCACATCAGGCGTCCACCCAGCGACCTCTACAGCACTGACTGTTCTTCTTCGGGCCCAAGCGGGAAGACAGGAAGGTGAGGGGCCCTGGGAGAGTCCCCCTGCAGCGCGAGGTGGCGCCTTGGCTCGGAGTCTGCTGCCACGCAGCGCGGCTGCCTTACCTGTCTCTATGAACTCCCGGGTCTGCTGATTGCTGAGGTTGGGGTAGGGCGAGGCTCCCAGGCTGAAGGTCTCCCAGAGCAAGATGCCAAAGCTCCACACGTCGCTCTCGGAGGAATAGCGGCCTGCGGGGAGGCGCGGAGGTGTCAGCGG